GTAGTGCTGTGACCACTGTTTATGCCAGGTGGGAATCCAAAGAGAGCCATATCCTTAAGGTCTGTTTGATAAAAGCCTACCAGCCAGAAATATTTGAACTCCCATTATTGTGAAAGAAGAGAAAATCACAAAGCACACTGCCTTCCTTGCCTCTGTATCTCTGCTTTCTTTCTTCCCCTCCCTGGCCCCCCACATCATACTCACTCATGGACATTATTTTTCTACTGTTGCTGAAAAGTAATTCAGTTCTGATAAGTCAGACATGAGAATACCCTGATTTTTCTTAAGTGCTGCTACCTTAGAAGAAATTAAATTGGTAGTAATGCACATAAAAATTCTTATCTCTTGATTCTGAGAAAGCCTTGAAGTTTCTCAATCAGTCAGAAATGAGAATGGAGTGGAGACTAATCAGTGAGGAAGCCCTGTTTTATTTTTCAAGCACAGTCTCTCCTGTAGCCCATGTATATGCCTCTGCTTTCTCTAAAACGCAACTGGCCCTTATTTTCTTGTTTTAGGCTGGTAGCCTACCCTCCCCCCTTTAATTGACTACTATAATTTTAATGTAAGTGACTCTTCTTGGCAGGTACAAGGTGTAGTAGTTTTATGACCTCCTAATCCCAGAGGCACCAGTTGCCCTACTTTGACAACTTCTTTTGGGTTTTTCTATAACAGTATTTTTGAACATTGAGATAAATGAAGAGTAGAGATTGTTGGTAGTTGCTATTCATGAAACTTAACCTGTTTATTTCCCCATTGTCAATGAAAATACTTGTTATATTAAAATGTCTTTGAGGGCCAGGGGTTTAGCTCAGTGGTTCTGGGGCCTGCCTCGCAAGCACAAGGTCCCAAGTTCGACCCCCCGTACCAAGAAAAAAAAATGTCTTTAAGCCAGGAAACAATTCATAAAGACCAAAAATGTGCTCATAAAGAAAAAAAAAATGGCCAAAAATGTACTCATTAAAAAGTAGAAATAAAATGTTCTCGGTTGCCTCTCATTGATCACAGTAGTATTATTTACATCAATTAAATATTTAACTTAAATATGAACCAAAATTTTGTGGTTAGTTATTAAGCAAAATACTCAGTAAATTGTATGCTCCCAAGATGTATTCCCTGAAGGTATTTACATTTCTGAGTTTTCTTTGAATGGGCAAGTTCAGTCAATTAGCAAGTATTTAATGAATACCCTAGGGCTTTTAGTATATCCAGAACCCCATTTACCACTTTAATTCTCAGGAGGTTTTTTTGGTTTGGTTTTGGTTTTGGTTTTTCGAAACAAGGTCTCTCTATGCAGCCCAGGCCATCCTTGAACTCACTATGTAGCCCAGGCTGGCCTTGAACTTAGTAATACTCCTGCCTCAGCCTCCTGAGTGTTAGGATTACAGGTATGCACCACTACACCTGGCTCTTCCCAGTTATTTATTTTTTTAAGAATTTGTCAGAGTGATTACAACTGATAGTCACAGTCCGATTTGTTTTTCTCTTAACATACATATGACAATTTTTTATTCTTTAAGAAAATAAGAATTGGCTTGTTGTGAATTTGCTTGAGGAGCTAAAGATCGGGACTATGAAGAGAGAGGGCCTTGAGGATCGACTTGGCAGCAACACACTTCTGGCCCCGACTCCCAGCATTGCCCGCCGCCTGTCCCCCAGCTCAGGAGAAGCTCTGGCTTTCTTCTCCAGTGCTCATCCCGCCTTTTATCTGGTCTGCTCCAAGCTGCTGTTTAGCTTTCTATTTTATTGTGGGTCCTCAGGGTACCTTACTTGGCAATACTCACTTGTAGTATTTACAGTTGATGATGCTAACAGCAAACATAAACATTACTGGCATCAATCTTAGTACTTTATAATTCATGAACTTAATCCTCAACAACCCTAGACATAATTATCTTCATTTAGCAGATGAGGAGGAAGGGATAGAAGAATGAAGTAATGTGTTCAAAGTCAGCGGTGCTGTAAGTGATACAACTCAGAGGTAGAGGGGAAACTGGTTCCTACTATATTGTCTTCTCATTGGCCTAGAAAGCCTATCTGCTGTCAGGTGAAAGGCTGAAGACCAAGACCAGACCAGGCCACAACAAGCCTTTATTAGGGGAATAGATCTGCTGGGCTGTCTCTGAACAAAGGAGAGACAAAAGCAATATGGCCGGGGCAGGGAGAGTCTTTTATAGAGACTGGGGTGGGGTTTGTAGGCGCTGAGACGGGGTTGAGTGAGGTAGTGACTAGGGAATGGAGGAACCGGTGATGTCACTAGGTGGTAGGAGGTGAGCGAGTATTAGGTTACTTTCTAGGTGGGAACAGGGACATGCTGGAAAGAAGGGTTTATTCTTTGGTGGGAGCAACCATCTTGGCATGATGTCACACAGGGGAGGGGGCAAGGCACGATAGGAAGAGGGCAGCTACTATACATAATAGCTGCTGAGGTAGTGGGAGACCTATCATCTGCCATGAGCATTTCTAGAAGTTATTGAAATTTGGGTTCCAGATTATTGTGTCCACTTGGTGTATGCAGCAAATGCAGCAATGTCATTTCAGACTCAGGGTCAAGTACTACATACATTGTCTGTGAGCTGCCATCTTGTATCTTCCTAGGAGTATGGCTTATTTGTGTGGATCCCAGAGGGTTGAAAAGGGAATCTTGTAGCCAGATCTTAACTTATCATGTGCTCCACACCTTGGAACACCGAAGTACCTGTCCTGAACTTAAGGAAAGCCAGCATCCTCAGGTTAGGAAAGCAAAAACAAACAAAAAGTGGTAGCAGGAATATCACTAATGGTGCTTCGGTCTGCTGGAGTCTCAGAAGCCAGGCAGATCTTGATAGACTGTTAATGCCCTCAAAGTCTGGTGAAAATAGGCAGAATGGATGTACATTCAGGGTCTAGTTCTTTCTTCGTCTACAGAGTTGAAACTCCAGAGCTGGATAATACATTGAAGTGGAAGGGTGCCCTGCTCCCAATACTGCTGTTTCTTAGAGGAACTTAGGTGGTGAGAGTCTTTTTTTATCACAATGGTTTCTTTGCAGGGGGGAATGTGCAGTCAAGGAAGCTCCTTTCCACCATGAAGAGGCGCTTCTTCAGGTGCTAACTTGCCTGGTGCTAATCTATCATGCAAAGCATGCGGAGTGAGAGAGAGACTTCCAGGCACTGTCCCATCAAATAGCAAGAGTGTTGAATTCACACTCACTGTTTTATTCACACTTTGCCCTCAGTTCCTTTGAGTACAGATGGACCTTTAATTCTTAAGTTCTGAATTCCATTTAAATGCATGTTTTTCTTTGAAGATCCCTTACTCTTTTTCTGTTAATGGCTGAAGAAAGCAAGTCATTTGCATGGACAAATCAGCTTTAAAATTTTTAGGGGAATTCCTTTTAGGAAGTAAGAGGCTATGTATATGTGTTTGGTTATTGGAACCTAAGAACCCAAAATGTAGGGTAGAAAAAGGGATAAGGAGAATTGTGTGGTGTTCTCCGAATTGTTTTTTTCTTGGGTTTTTTTTTTAAGTAGACTTCATTTAGAGCTTAATGACACCTTTCACTCTGAAAGCAGAGTTATCTAAGCCCTGAACAATTCCAGAACACCCATGGGACACAGCTGAGGAGAAGTAGAACTTAGAGGAAGGGCTCGTGGTAGGAGTGATAGTGGTACACACATGGAGTTAGCCAGGGTACTGAGGTTACCACTGGTTTATGTATACTTGGGCTAAATTGTTAGAACCCAAGAATCCATTATTCAGTGAGGAACCTGCAACTGCTTTTAGTGGCTTCTGTTTTATTTGTAGCCTATATTTCTGGGATCCATGAAGAAGTGTAGTGTTGTGTACCAGCTGGGTGGGGCACAGTGTTTCCTTGAGGAAGTTGGTAGGAGGAAAAGTCTCATTTTAACTCTAGTTTTCTATTTATAATACTAGTATAGTTTGTTTTACTTTTCAGTCTTTTTGAAGGAAAACTGAAAACTATGGTTAGAGGTAGAGACCTATTCTTGAGGGATTTTGGCATTGTTTGAAGCCTGCGTAGGGGACCTGCCCTGGCACCCTGAAACATAACAGTCTTACTCTTTTAGTCTAATGCAGAGACACTGCTCCCAGTCACATTTCACAGAGGAAAAACGGGTAAGCAGAACTGTGTGTTATTGACTCTTCCTTATCTTGACAGGATAATACTTGACTGTATTCAAATATATCTATTTATATGGGGTTTCAGACTTATTGTAATGCATATGAATCAAGAATTCATCTAATGTTTGCTGAATGTTGAAAGTGATGATGAATTAAAGTAGCAGCTTTATTTAGAGGTAAGTTTAGATATTATGACCGTATATTGTATAATAGGTTTTCTGAGGGATTTAAATGTCTTTTCTTAATGTTTAGGCGGTTTCATTTTCATGAACTATCACAGAGATCCTGAAAGTAACCAAGCACCATCAAATTCAGTTAATTAACAAATACTGAGTGCCCATGATTCCTTTAGGTGCTGGTCAAGATGAGTGTTTAAAGTGTGTTAATACAAGTAACTCAGAATATTTCCCTCTATTCTTAGTGGTAGAGAGTGACAGAATTTATTCTCTTGTGCATATACGTGTATCTCCCTAGCCTGTGAATACTTTTCTTTCTGTTTGAGAGTAGATGATGAGCAGATCAGAATTAGTTCTGACAATCAGAGTCATCCTAGGCCTTCTGTTAAACTGACAGAATTTCATAGCAGTTAGGATTTAATATTATTTATAATCTGGGGTTTGGGGCAGCCAAATATATCTTAGGTGACTTCAGATGAATTTGGATCTAATTCTCAAGGAAATGTTCGTTTTTATAATAAATGTTGAAGCCTTTCTCTTCCAGAGTGCCAGATGTGCTGGTGACATCTGGCTGGAGTGGGGGCAGAAGGAGGCAGGAGGGGAGGGAGAAGCCACATATGTACATTATCTAGCAGTGTCTCAAAACTGTAAATCACAGAGAAATGGCTGTTTCAGTTACTAGATTGACATTTCTTATCTCAATATAGATTGTCTCTTGGAATAAGGATTTCAGACACCTGGGATTTCAGAGAATCTGTCAGGTGAGGAGACTTCATTGCATTCATATTTGTGTTTGAAGCAGGCAGCATGATCACTTTGGTTACTTTTTCTCAAATTTGCAATTTGAAGTGCATCCTAGTCTGAGACATTAAGAGCAGTTTTGGGGGTATGAGTTTAATTATCTAAGATATTTATAGAAAAACATCAAGCCTTTCCAGTAACTTCTTTCTCCTAAAGATGGGTATTTTCAGCTTTTGTAACTCATATGATGTAACACACATTTACAGATACAACTGGCCATGTAAATAAATACCCTGTTCGGCCCCAGTACAGTTTGTTTCAAAGGAGCTTGTTTCCACTGCTGCAATACCCTCAGATCAAGTAGAGGGCCTCGTACCACTTATTTGCTCTGTTGGATAGTGTTTCACTAATACTAGTGATAGTCAAGTTTATAGAGCATGTTCTGTGTACTGGTTGCTTTGCTAAGAGTTTCCCCTGGCTCACCTTATTTAATCCATATGACCGACTTCTGTGGTAGGCAAAGAGGTTGGTTTTCTGTGCAGCTAAGCAAGCTCTGCATCCAGTCCTCACTGGAGTGGCCACTTCCCGATTCAGAACGGGTCTCACTGTGGGTTCGTGCGGCCTAATTCTGCAAATAAACACCTTACTTGTAAACATCAGCTCAAACCCTTAAATGATCTCTGTTAGTTGAGCAGACTGAAGTAAAGAAACCTGCCCCCTCCCCGCCAGGTTAGGTCACCCAGTGAGCAGTCAAGCCTGGCTTTCAGCCCAGGCCCTTTAAAGCACTCAGTGCATGGTTAAAGAGTCTGGGGTGTTTTCGAAAAATTGTATGAAAGTTTTGCCTCATATAAATGTTCTATTACTTGTTCTTAGTTTGTAATCCTGTATTCTTAGTGTTTCAATAAATTCTTGCCTTAAGTTTTCAAAATGTCTCTTAGATTAAAGGTGTTTTTGAAGTGTGACACACTGAATACATGTGTATATGATTATGCATTAATCTAAATTTGAATCGTAATATGAATACCTACCAAGTAAACTGATGGATTATCCAGTATCACCTGTTTGAAGCTTTATGGGCACATGAATCCAGAATGGGGAGACAAAGGGGAAGTTTGAAGATGCCTTGGACATGTCGATGCACATGGCCTGTTGTTACTGAGTGCTGTGTTTAGACATCTAGTTCTGAAAGATAACTACTTGGATCCCCATCATCCAGTATTGAAAGGTAGGGTGGAGTCTTAATAGCATTAAGTGGGTCAAGCAGAAGCCATTAATGCAAATCTGTAAAACATTCTAGATATAGTTACCCTACTCCTACAGTGTTTGTTGGTGTAGCTTTCCTGCTTGTTCTTTTTTCTCCAAAGGTTAGACAAGTCAGTGTTGGAAAGAATGTTTTATTTTTGCCTGTTAGAATTTCCTTCAAGGTGAAAGCTAGCTAATGATGTAAAACTTTTGTGCTTGGATTGGTGATAAGCTATCTCAGTAATTGTATTTTGTAGTTTATGAATCTACTCTACAGTGACTATAAAACCAGCAAGTTGTTTAAATTCAAAATTATATAGGTTCAGTAGAATTTAACTTAATGTCAGTTAATACATTGTTGGCTGTAATAAAAACCAGAGATTAGTGAAATAGCCTTGAAATAAAAATGACAGCTCACAAAACTCACTGAACCTCGATAAAACCATGATATTTTTTATTGTCTCAAAGTTCAATACACATTTTCTCTCACATGTATTGGCAAATTAGTAATGATTGTTTTAGAGACATTGCTTACAACTTTTATAGCTGCCAAGAAAATTTATCAGCACTTCTTTTCTATGAGGAATTCCAGTTTAGAGATGATATGGAGGAAAAAAGATTAATGAGAAATCTCATTAGCATATTAGGCTGTAGGAGCAAAGGGAACACAGGAGACAGCCATGACTAATCACCCATGTGCTGTGGACATAGGAATATTCTAAGTTGGGATCTGGCTAAATAACGGGTCTGCTTCATTTTAAGTGAACCTGTTAATACCTAATTTACAAAACTGAAACAATGGGGCGCCTTTTGTTTTTTTACATTCTTGTCTGTATTTTCTATTAGTGTCTATAAGTTTTTTAAAATACTGGGTTTCAGGGGAGATCCTGCCTCAAAAAAAAAAAACAGAAAAAAAACCCCCTAGGTTTCAGTGCATACATTTTGATCATATCTGCCTCCCATTACCTTCCTTTACATTCCCTCCTTCCCACTCATTCTCTTCCTCTCATCTAATAATAGTTTCCCTTCTACTTCCATGTCATCTTTTTAGATTCCATGTATAAGGGAGAACATGTGACACTTGTGTTTCTGAGTTGGGGTTATTTTGCTTAATATGATTGATCTCTATTTCCATCCATTTTCTTGCAATTGGCAAAATTTCATTCTTTTTTATGGTTGGATAATATTCCATTTGTGTGTTTGTGAGTGTGTGTGTGTATTCATATGTCGATGGGCACCTAGGCTGGTACCATATCTTGGTTGTTGTGAACTGTGCTGCTTAATAAACATGGGTATGCAGGTATAGGATATTGCTTTTTTAAGGATTTACATACTGAGACAGTTTTTTCAGGTGAGAGCATATTTACTGGGGATGTGTAGAATATAATACAAACTGAGCTTCTTAATTAAATCAGAAGTATGACATTAGTGAACAAAAATGAGAAACTCAATGGGGAAGGGGAGCGACTTGCAGGGATTGAGAAGCACTGAAATAAGGAACCATTTCAGAACCGTAGTATTCAATTTGAAAAATAAAATTTACTGTCTATAGTTCCCACTAATGATTGAGAGTCAACTTGTTGAGACTTTGTTCTTCCCATGGAAACATTTCTCAAATTAGGTAAGAGTTTTGGAGAACAGGATTTGCTTTTCAGAATGAGGAGTTTTAAAAAATTGACTCTAATATATAAATCTTGCAATACAGGGAATTCCTGTTGCTGGGGAAGTGTTGTTGCGCTCATCTCTTTCAAATTGGGTTCCTTTGTGGTGTGGAGTATGCTGTGAGAACTGAGATCACAGCCTGTTTGCAGTCCATAGCAGTGCTGCTCAGCTGCTTGAGAGAAACTCTATTAGAACTGTAGTTTTTGTTTCAGAGAACCACAATCTGTGGCAGTGCTGTCACACAACCAGGTACATGTAATTGACATAGAATTTGAAACCAGTTTTTTTCCTCACTGTACCATCTTAATGATACAACCTTGGTATTTATCTCAATATTGACAAATTAGCACACTAAGTTGTAACTTCCAAAGAACAAGAGCAAGCCTTTTTCCAAATTAGGCCATGTCAACATGTTCTTTCTGTTTGGGATGGACTAGATCTGTAATTCTTGTTGAATCAGAAGTATTGCTGAGTTCAAAAAGTGTAAACATTTTCTTTCTTAAAGGAAGAAATGTTAAGGTATAGCTGTCAGCTTGTGCTAGGAGGAAGGGTAGGATAGAATTTGATTGGGGCCCTGTTATTAACATTTGTTACATCACATTGATTAGCTTCTGAAAATACAGTGATGTTCCTTGTTGTTTATGTATGAGATGTAAGTCCTCCCACTGCACCATCTAAACTTGTACCACCTGAGAGTTATATTTCAAGGACATCAATGTGTTAGCTCTCTTAGGAGAATCTTCAAATTGAATTTTTAATGAAAGATATTTTTAAATGATGAAAGCAAGCTTTAAAATTCAGTTAAATAACCCATCACTGCCCTGATTTAGTAAGAAAAAGGATTAGGCAGTTCAACTATAAAGTGACCATTTTTAGAATTCACCATTTAACATCTTGATCAAGGACGGAGAGTTATTTTAGTGGTGTGCAGACTTCAATTTGCTTTAATCCTTTAACTGCACATTAGCTCGGAGAAGAGTTCAGTGGAACAGAAATGTTGCCTGTACAATAATTGCAGAGTAGTTCTGTGGGTTGCTGCTTAGATCTGCCTGAAGTATTGCATCCAAGCCTGCAGAGAGTAGTAAGAAGGTAGACTTTTTCCTGTAAGCAATACAAAGATTGTTTTTGTTGACTTGAGAATTTCTTTTTTTTCTTTCCAACCCAGTGCCTTAATTTGTCTGTTAATTGAAATCACTACTGTTATACATTAGGTGTTTGGAAAAATAATTGCAGTTTATGATTACTGTCATCATTAAGTATTTACTTACAAGGTTTTTTAAATATGTCTTAAACAGTATTTTTTTTTCAGTTTCAGTACTATTGCCAGGGTTCTGCTATCTTTTGTCTATCCTTCCACCTCACTGGCTGCCCCTTCTTGGACTCTAGCTGGTTTTTCCACCCTTCTCCAGGTACCACCTGTCAGGGTGGCATTTATTCATTCTTCATTCAGCCTCATGGCTGTAGAAACCATATGAACACTGGCTTCTAAGTTCATATAACCTGCCTTTGCCTCTCTTCTAATTCAGCATTCGTATTCACCTGCCTCTTCATTGTCTCTCAGGGATGGCAAAATAGATATCTCAAACTAAGCTTTCTAGAGCCAAACTCTGAACTCACAGTTCATTCATTCATATATATATATATATATAGTGTTATATATTATTATAGTAACCTCATATTATAATATAGTAACCATATTATATAGTAACCTCATCCTTCTGTTTGCTCAGATCAAAAATATTCGAGTCTTTTTTCCTCAGCTTCTGGAGTGCTGGGATTAAAGGTGTGGACCACAACACCCAGCTAATGTGAAAACTTTCTCTTTTCCAGTGCTGTGTATAAAACCCAGGGGCTCACACACGGTAGGAAGGCTCTCTACCGCTGAGCTACATTCCTAGCTCCTGTTTCTTGATTCTTGCTTTTCATACTCTCACAAAGTCACACTGTCTCTTCTGAAAAGCTGTCCAGAATCAGACTTCTAGTCCTCACACTCACTGTCATCTGTTTTTGTTTTTGTAACTGGTCTCTCTGCATCCACCCTTACACCTCCAATGCCTCTTCTCAACACAGCAGTTGAGCAATGCTTTTGAAATACTGGTCAGTTCGTGTTTTTTGC